CTCGTTTTTTGGTACTTTATGCGTTCGCTTATCTGAATGTGGCGTGGTTTTCTCAACGATTCTTGGGATTCCATCTACGTATTTTATGGTCTTGTTGTCATTATTTTCGGCTAAAACGTTGAGTTCGGTACGCAGTTCACGCAGATGGTCACGCTGTGCAGGTGTAAGGTCGGGTTTGAAGATGATGTGCTGGCTATTGGAAGATTTAGATTTCCACAGCAACTTGGCCACATCTTTCGACGGTGTTTCAGTGAGTACGGGACGGGGACGGGGATTACCACTCAAGAGACGACCGAGTCTGCGTAGTTTCAAGGTCGGTAGTGTATCACGTATTTCTTGCGGGAATGCTGCAGCTAACTGCTCGCGATCATCTTTAAGCCTATCGGCACCAACAGTTTTCGTCGATTCTGGAACGTTGAGGGCTACAGCGTTCTTCTCCCTTTTTTCCGGCTATTTATCTAGGCTATTTATTTATTATCTGGAACAACTGATCGCGTATCAAGACTATTGTTGTCTCAAGAGCGCTAACTCTTTTCTCGACCTCCGTGTACTTCTTCATAGTAGTTTCATTCTGTTTGTTTAATTTCCTTAACTCCGTCCTGATATCATCTAAGCTGTTTTCTATTCCGAGTCTGAATGGAACGAAGTATTTTTCAAACATAATTTCAAGAAGTTTCGCGGTATTTTCTTCATCATACGCCTCGGATACATCTTTTGACACATACACACTAACAACGCTTTTACATGCGCTGTATATCCACTTCAGCCCATTTTTCTTAATTTCGCCTGTCCAGCCCAGTGCATTTCGCGTGAATCCAATTGCCACAATCAGTGCACAAAATACTGGACGAATTTACTTTAACCATTTCTTTTGTCGTTTAACTAAAATCTACCCGTGTAAATTGCAATTCAACCTTAAAATGTAAGCGTTTTGGCTGGTCGATATCTCAGTCATTTTTCCAATCGACCGAAATCGACGCGTGTAAAGGCAACTTCAAGAATTTTTNACAACAATTTCTTTAAGCCATCTTGTGCAGCAATTTGTTGATCTTATCCTCACGGCTACCGAAATCACCAACCTCAACGTAGTGATTAGCCTTCTTGCGCCAGCCTCGGGTTGATGTGTTGAGCTTGAATGGCATCAGGAAGTTGGAGTCTTTCTTGAAGTGGGTTCCAACAGTGAATATTTCGTGCGCCAAATAATCAACGCACTGAATTTCGTGCGCTTTGCGCAATTTGCGTTCGATCACAAAGCTGTCAGAGATTGGAACACGTTGATGGTTGTGCTTGACAATTCCACGTTTGTACATAAATTCACGAACTGATTTAAGATTTGGATAACCCCATATAGGGTTCAGCATACGTAGCATATTAATGGTTGCCTTGTTCAATTTGATGAACAAACCGTGGTTAATGTGGCGAAAACGGAACAACAGTAAAACTTTACGCACTTTTGGTGCAACTTTGTTGATACCGCGGATACGGATCACAAAAGCCAATCCGGATTGTTAAGGCACGTAGAATTGGCCGCGTTTTATTGCCACACGGCGCAACTTCATCTCACGGCGTCCATCACGGAGTTTTCTTGTTTGATATTTCTCAGCATGCACCAAATTTTCACGTTTACGGAGTGTAATCGCAGCAGAGCGCTTTAGTTTACGCTTGATCAGGGTAGCAATTTGCTGACCTGCTTCTTGCTGAACTTCAGCTCCGACTCAGGGACAGGAGGCAGCTTCCTGGAAGGTTGTCTGCCCTTTGCTTACGGTTTCTTATCGGCCGTGATGGCAGTAATCTTATCTTGTTACTTAGCACATTGAGAAGGCGAAAAAAAGTTCGCTAAATGTTTGGAGCACATCGTAAATGAGCCACTCGATTTATAACATTTCTAGTAAACAATTTAATTAAATACTTTTTATACATGGATATGCTGCAACCAGGCACTTACTTTCCCAAATTCCATCCTGTTTATCGGCATAATTTTTCAAATATGCCTGCTACTTCATTACTAATAACTCCATTTTCAAACTGCGCCTTCTTTGTTGCCTCAACATATCCTAAAAAGACATAAGTTTACATTAAACAATAGAAATCGCAAAAGTTAGCAAATAAAATACTCCCTTTGTTTTGTTTTGTTAGCAAATTTCTGAGGAATGTGAATTCACCACGATGCGATACAGAAAGAACAAGGACCAGGGATGTAATTTTAAGTAAATGTATTATTCAGTGGCAATGCGCAGAGCGTTCGGGGCAGCAATATTAATTTGTATCAAATATAACATTAAACGGTGGTTCTAATACATTTTTTGATATTATTAACCTGAGTACATACATTATATGGTATCTCTTTTAAAAATTAATGTACTGTATGAACTTTTTTTTCAAATATTTCTTAAGTTTCTTTCATGAGTGTTTNAAATATAACATTAAACGGTGGTTCTAATACATTTTTTGATATTATTAACCTGAGTACATACATTATATGGTATCTCTTTTAAAAATTAATGTACTGTATGAACTTTTTTTTCAAATATTTCTTAAGTTTCTTTCATGAGTGTTTAAAAGCAACCATGCGTGTAAGAAATTGTGTGCTACCTAAAGTTTCACCTCTGGAAACTTTATCCCCATAAAGGAGTTCACCACAGTTTTTTTACTGGATATACTGAGGTTAACACCAATTAAAGAAACGTTCCATAAAAGCGAACTATATTTTCTCAAATAAAAAGTCTACTTTATTTCGAATATCATTTACCTATTGGCTTAATCTACGCTATTCTCAAAAATCTACAACCATATATGTAATACACCTATATTGGCAGTAAGAGCTAGTACCGTCCGAAAACACTACAGTACAGATATATAAATAAACACGTACGAAAGAAAAGGAACACATACGTTTATAAATAAAAATGTACACAACACATATACAAAAACGGCACTCAAGTACACAATACATTGACAAAAGCCGTACTAGACTGTCTCGCTTTGATTTCGGAATGCTTACACATTGAGAAGTTAGCTTACTGCCAATATAGAAGTATTACATATATGTCTACAACATATTGTTTCATTTTACATATTTTGAAGGAAACGATGGATTCTATTGTATTTGCAATTATAGGGCGCTATGGAAATGATTTCATATGCGAAGCTGTCGGGCATAGTAACCATGGGCGCATCTATGTCAGCTTCTGGTTGAACCACAGGCCAGAACTCCTCCTATGCCTGAAGAACTGGTCCTCAATCCAGTTAATGCAATAACAGCTTCTTCCAAGCCATTGAAAACATGCACTTTGTTAGGTCCACCACCTGTTGTGCTTGCTTCTGCCTTCGGCCGCGCCTAGAGACTATAACCCTTACTAAGTAGAATTCTCCATATACAGCATTTATTGTGCATATACCTCCGGCTACGCCATCCACAGAACCCACATCGAAATTTACAAAAAAGTGCATAGTGCGGACCAAATTTATTATTAAACTAATGCTTGAAAATTTTAAACATTTCTTTTAAATAAAAGTGTAATCCTTTGATTACACGTGTATGTTAAAGTTTTAGGATTCTGGTTATGCCTTTTGACACAATTACCGAAAATCATTGCACAAATATCGGACCCAAGATTCTCGATGAGGGGCAACAAACATTCTTGTTTGTTCGTTTATATAAATCAGTGGATAAAAATATACGTATATTCGAAAGACAAATTTATCTGTTTAAAAGAACACCACTAATATTTCCTGTAAACACACATCGGCTTTGTTTCTTTTCTTTTCTGGCAGATAATTATCAGGAAGAGGAAGAATGGGAAAATTTAGGGAATTACGCTCACAGAGAGCGGAACAAAGAAATAGTAAAGAAACGCAAAACTACCAGAAACTAGCAAGTAAACAGCTGATCAATGTATTTAACTATTGAAAATATTTGGCGCGAATTTTGGTTTGTCCATTTTGTCAGCTGCTAGTTTCTGCTAGTAAAAATATTTACTTGCAGAAATTAGCAGGAGAGCCAAAAAAATAAGAGCGTAAGAACGAGAGAGCTAGTTTTTTGGATTAAGAAAGCTTTCCAGCGGAAATTAGTGATAATTTGTGATAACTATCTGCTAAGAAACAAAGCTATCGATTTACATCTTTTATCTCGCTTCCGACATAGAATAGTTTTCGTACAAAATTACGCAATTTCTTACTCGTTCGTTTTTAGGCATGCCATTGTTACGAAGCAAAATCCGAATACGAAAGAGTTGCAGAATAGGGGTTGTTGTTGTTGTAGCAGCAGTACTCAACCCCCCGGGGTCTCGTCAAGGGTCGTCTTCGTCCTCTGACTCGACAAGCCTGAGGCCGAGAAAGCGGGCGGCATCTATAGGCGCGGTCTATAGTGCTTCTGGTATCAGGGTCGTGGTGTTAGAGGCGCATGCGGAGAGGTGTTGGGTGTTGTGTGGACCTTGCCCGCATGCAGGGCATGTGTCTGCCACTTCTGGGTTCTAGTCTGTGGCACCACCCAGAACGGAGTGTGCTAGGGTGCACCTGGTCTCTCTTGGCAGTTCAGCTTCGTCGATGTTGATGGGTGGCGGTCGACCACCTAGAAGGATGTTGTCGTTTCTGGTGCTAAGACTCGACCTGACTGCATCGGTGTGTAGGTGGTTAAGCGCCGCTCTGTATTTCTCTGCGTCGAATGGGTGATCTACGCACGGCTCAACGTCGGATTTCCAGTCGNAACCCCCCGGGGTTTCGTCAAGGGTCGTCTTCGTCCTCTGACTCGACAAGCCTGAGGCCGAGAAAGCGGGCAGCGTCTATAGGCGCGGTCCATAGTGCTTCTGGTGTCAGGGTCGTGGGGTTAGAGGCGCATGCGGAGAGGTGTTGGGTGTTGTGTGGACCTTGCCCGCATGCAGGGCATGTGTCTGCCACTTCTGGGTTCTAGTCTGTGGCACCACCCAGAACGGAGTGTGCTAGGGTGCACCTGGTCTCTCTTGGCAGTTCAGCTTCGTCGATGTTGATGGGTGGCGGTCGACCACCTAGAAGGATGTTGTCGTTTCTGGTGCTAAGACTCGACCTGACTGCATCGGTGTGTAGGTGGTTAAGCGCCGCTCTGTATTTCTCTGCGTCGAATGGGTGATCTACGCACGGCTCAACGTCGGATTTCCAGTCGTGCAGGTGACGTCTGACATGTCGGGGAGGCGGTTCATTTCGAAGCAAGGCGTTATTCGGGTGATTTCCACGGTGACATCCCACGAGGAACTGCTTCGATAGCAACGTGTTGTGCTCTTTCACCGCCAGCATCTGGCTTTCTTGGTGGAGGTGATGCTCGTACGACATGAGATGGCAGCCTGTGCGTAGAGCTGCATTCTGGCATGTTTATAGGTTTCTCCGCTGTGTATCGCTGGTACCCGCCGTCCACACTGGCGCTGCGTAGTTTGCCACCGACCGGCCGATTGCTTTGTACGCAGTGAGTAGGGTTTCTTTGAGGGCTCCCCAAGTGCTGCCGGCTAGTGACTTGAGGACTTTGTTCCTAGCTCGCATCTTTTCGCAAGTGGCTGAGGCGTGCGCAGAAAAGGAGAATAGGCTGTCGAACGTAACTCCCAAGATTTTGGGGTGGTTGACCGTCGGTATTTTGTTGCCATTTACGTAAACGTCCAGCTCTAGCCTAACTTCATTTGTCCAGGTGGTAAACAGTGTGGCGGTGGATTTCGCGGCGGAGATGGTGAGGCTCTTGGCAGTGAAGAAATTTGCAAGATCGGTGAGATAGTCGCTGATTTTCCCGCACAGGCTGTCAATATTGGGGCCCGTCGCCAAAATCGTGCAATCATCGGCGTAGCTCACCAAGTTTACTCCTGCTGGCGGCGGAGGGAGTTTCGCCATGTAGAGGTTGAACAGCGTCGAGGAGAGTACGCCGCCTTGGGGGACCCCCTGTTTAATCCTACGTGGCTTGGACTTGGCGTTTCGGAATTCGACCAATGATTGGCGTCCACACAGATAGCTGGTTATCCACCGCTTTGTCCGATCCGGAAGCTACGAGGCCAGGACGTCTTGGCAAAGGGTCGCCTGGTTTACCGTGTTTACAGGTCCACCGCGACTAGAACCGTCCTATCACAGGGTCGACGTTGGTTCAGACCCTCGCTTATCTGTGTGGTGATGGCGTTTAATGCAGTGGTCGTGCTGTGCATTTTGCGGAATCCGTGTTGGTGTTGGGCTAGTTGCAGATGCTTCGTTAGACTTGGGAGGAGTAGTGCTTCCATCGTCTTTGCCACTGGGGATAGGAGGGAGATTGGCCGGTAAGAATCTCCTGCGTCCGCCTTCTTACCTGGCTTAAGGAGGGGAATGATCCTACCCATTTTCCACATCTCAGGAATGATCAGGGTGGACAGTGACAAGTTTAAAGCTGCCGTGATGTACTCGACTCCCACTGGTCCTAGCTTTTTCAGCATCTGCATCGAGATTCCATCAGGGCCTAACGCCTTGGGTGCTTTGGCTTTATTTACAGCTGCCTGCGTGTCTTCTGGTGTAAAGCACGTTAGTGTGTCTCGGGGCGGAGTTTTTGTGCTTTACGTAGCACACTTCGGCGGGCTTTGTCTCTCCGGGTGTGCAATAAACTGCCGGCTGAAAAAGCGCGCGCACGTCCGTGGGTCCGACGTGGGGGTATCGCCAAATGTAAGGGCAACGTTGTCCTTGCGTTTCGTCGGATGGGAGAGAGATTTTACTGCCGTCCACAGTTTGCTAGCTCCGCTGGAAAGATTGCAGGTCTTGAGGTGCTCATTCCACGTTTTCCGCTTGTGTTCGTTAACCAGTTTGTTAATGTCCTTGTTGAGATCCCTGATACGGGGATCACCAGGATTAGACTGGCGGATTCGATCACGCTCGTCTGCGAGTCCCGCCGCTTCAGCTAGAAAGCCCGGGCGGATTTTGGCGATCCTACCGGCTAGTATGAAGCGGGCGGCTGCTGCGTTGATGATTCGGCGGATGTTGCGCTCAGATTTGGGCGCGCATGTTGGTGGTGGAAGAGCATTGAATTTGCGGTCCGTGTGTTCCGTAAAACCGTCCCAGTTGGGCTTCTTGGTGTTCATATGTGACAAAATCTCTTGGGTGGTCTATCGCGACTACTATGGGCAGGTGGTCTGATGCGAGCGTGAGCACTGGTTGCCAACCAATGCAATTTATCAGACCCCCGCTTGCTATAGTGATATCTGGCGAGCTGTAGCAGTCACCCGCGACTCTGGTGGTTGCATCGTCGTTTACAGTGCAAAACGTTGAGTCGACAATTTGTTCTGCGATTAGTGTACCCCGCTGGTCGTTGCACAGGTTGGAGTGCCAGAGTTCGTGGTGCGCGTTAAAATCCCCTAGCACTACCCGGTTTCCGCCTTCAAGTAGCGCACTTATGTTCGATATCCTGCTGGGCAGCTGGTGGCAGGTGGTATGTACACGTTGACGACTTCCAGCTCAGTATCTCCCGACTTGATTGCCACACCTTGGTGCTCAATGAGTGTGTCGTTGGCGGCGATTCGGGGGGTAATGAGCCGGTATTGTTGCATTGTGCAATATAAAGGCGATGTCGACTCCGGCGCCGCGAGGGCGGTCTCTTCGGATGACGTTGAACTCATCCTGACTTTGAAGGCTGGAGCCGGAGTGGAGTTTGGTTTCCTGGACCGCCGCGACTGAGATTTTGTTGCGCCTCATGAAGCTGACTATCTCAGTGATCTTGCTCTGTGGTCCGTTGCAATTGAACTGCAATAATTTTATGGAGTTGGGCCTGGTGATGTTTATTCGCGGGGTGAGGGAGTGCTGGCGCGCTGCCTGAACTGCTTGCTGTGCCGGTTGTGTTTGAAGCGGGTGTGGTGGTCCGGCCGCTGGTGTTATCACCGGTGTTGGCGCAGGTGTGGGTGTGACCGTGGGCCGCGGTTGTGGGATTACCGCTGGCGTTGGCCAGACGTAGACGTTGGTTGGACAAACGTAGGTGCAGGCGATTGGGATTGTGTGGTAGCAGAGCAGCAGGCTGCAGTGAAAGCAGTACTCCATTCGCGATGGTGTATGAGGCCGGAGCAGCATTTCAGGTGGCACCAGTTGTTGCATGCGTTGCATCTTACAGATGTGGTGTTACGCCTTATCAGGTTGTTGCAGACGCTGCAGAACCATCTGCTTTGAGTGGATGTCCAGGGTTGTGTGCTGGGAGTTGGTCCACTGGCTGTTGGTTAGGCGGGCGCTGTTTGTGTGGAATGCTGGGCTTGCTGTGGATTGTTGCAGCACGATGCAACAAAGTTAGCACTCCACTCCCTATGGTGCCGGCCTGAGCATGCTTTCAGATGACACCAGTTATTGCAGCTGTTGCAACGGACTGAGGTGAACGGGTGGTGTATATATCGGTTGCAGACACTGCATGTCCATGGTCCGGGGTTTTGCTCTATGCCTGCGCGTACCAGTAGTATGCGGAGCTGACTTGCCGGTAGGTCATGCTCCCAGTGCGCAAAAATGGGGGGGTTGCTGCTGGGGTAATGGTCCTTGGTCGGAGTGGGTGCTCCGAGTCAATCCGGTAACGTAGAACCGACCATCTTGGGGACTACACGTGTATGTTAAAGTTTTTAGGGTGATGAGTTTGGATACAACAACCCAAAAACATTGTACAAATAACTAAACCCAAGTTTCCCGATAAGGGGCAACAAACATTCTTTTTTGTTCGTTCATATAAAGCAGTAGATAAAAATATACATACGCACGATTGAGAGAAATATAGATTGCGCCAATCGCGGTACCGCTAATCCGCTCTTTGTTATTTTGACAGAATCAGCTGTGTGCGCGACGTCATCTTTGTGCAATTGTTGATTGTGAGCATACGAAAAAAAACAAAGAACAATTTTAATATTTGTGCGTTAATATTTCTGCGTGGTTTTAAACAATTATTGAGACATTACAAAGCAAAATGAAGTGTGCAGTGGCAAAGTGCGATATTAGTTTTTTTTCGTTTCCAACGGACGCAAACCTGGCGAAAAAGTGGAAGCAGTTCTGCCGGCGAGGAGATGCATTAAACACCAAATCGAGCTTTGTGCTATGTGTGCGAGCTATGAGCTTCTACATGGAACTATGTTGGCCTTTCCTTGGTGAATGTAGACCAGAGGTGGGCCA